TACTGTGATAGATTTTGATGCCAGAACAGGCTTCTGTTCACAACAGTGGCCCATGAAGAAAGATGCTTTTATTAAATTTAAGTGAAAGAACTGCTTCCACTGTCAGGGTATTTTCTAATTTCAGTTCAAGGAATATCCTAAAGTTTAGCCTTGTTCAGAATTTACTGCATTAAGAGAAAGTATTTCATTCAGAATAGATTGGTTATTAAAACTGTGCTGCTACTATCCATTCCCTTTCACACCACCATTTTCATCCCAATTCCCTCCAGTTCTTTGGAAATTTGTGATCAGGGGGATCTGAGTTCCTTATTTGTTTTGACTCTCTTCTTGTGTGCTGTGGGCACTGGAGTAGAGATTTCTGAAAAACCAGTTTATTTCATCTTGCATTTGTGTTTGAGTTATTTTTAATATTTTCCTGTAAATATTTTGTAATATTTTACTTGTAGTGAAATGGATCACATTGCCATTTCCTATTAATACAAAGCAGGATATGTGGGAAGAAAATGTACAATTCTTTGATTAAAATTATTTCCCACTGACCTAAAAAAAAAAAAAAAGAATAAGAAAAACAAAGAAAACCCAAAATAAGCAGAAGGAAGATATGATAAAAATATAAGCAGAAATCAGTGAAATTAGAAATAAAGAAAATAATTTTAAAAAGTAACAAGTTTTGTAAAGATCAGTAACACTGATATGATTCTGGCCAGTGTGCTCAAGAAAGATAATAGACACACAGTATCAATATTAATGATGAAATGGTAGCATTATTAAGGATAGTACTACCATTAAAGAGATTATAGGGGAATATTATAAAGCCCTTTGTGCCAACAAGTTCTAAAACTTTAATGATATTGACAGATTTCTTGAAAGAGAAAAACTATCGAAGTACTAAGACATCTAAGAAGAATTTGATAACCAGAATATTTGAATATCTAAAACCATTTAATATTGAATTCATAGTTAAAACATTCCAGAGAAAAACACAGAGGGCTTTACTTATGAATTCTACCAAATATTTAAGGAATAAATAATAATTTTTTTAAAAAAATGTCTTTCAGGCCACAGAAGAAAATGAAACAAGTTCTGACTTATTTTTTGAAGCCAGCATAATTTGGGAATCAAAACCAGATAAACACAAGAAATTATAAAACACATGTACAAAACATAGACACAAAGATGCTCAACGAATAGTAGCACAGCAAATCAAACAATGTATAAAAGAGATTATACAGTGTGTCATTATGGAGAGGGTTTATTTTGCAAATACAAGCTGGAGTCTATCAATGCAATTTGCCTTATTGATCAAGTGTAGAAGGAAGACCTTATGACAGCCTTGATAGATGCAGACAAAGAACCACACAACTCCACATCATTTCATGATAAGCATTATGAGGAGACTAGCAATAAGAGCCTTCCTCAACATGATAAAAGACATCTAAGAAAAGCCTACAGCTAACAATATACTTAATAGCGAAAGATTATGCTTTCCCTTCAAGTTATGATTTGGGACAAGGAAGGGCATCTGTTCTCACCACTCCTATTTACCATTATAATGGAGGCCATGTCAGTGAAATAAGGAAAGAAAGAAAAGAAATAAGGATTGGAAAGGAAGAGACAAAACTATGTATATTTTGCAAAATGCTGTAATTGTATACATAAAAAATTTCAAATAATTTCCAAAAACCTCCTGAAATGGATAAGTGAGCTTAGAATAGCTTGAGATACAAGGACAGTATGTAAAAATCCATTCTAATTCTGTATACTCAAATTGAACCTTTGGAAATTGAAATAAACAAAAGGAATCATTTATATAGCATTAAGAACATTATAGATAGTTTATGAATTTACCAATTATGTGCACAATTTTCATGCTGAGTACTATAAAATACTAATGAGAAAATTTAAAGAAGACGTAGAGAACTTAATAGATGCACCATTTATACCTGGATTGGAAACCTCAATGTGGTTAAGGTTTCATTTCTCCCCAAATTGACCGATTTAAATCAATCCAAATCTAAATCCCAGTAGGATTTTTGGGGGGTTCTTTTCAGTAGAAATTGATACCTGTTTTAGTACATTAGGATTACTATAACAAAATACCATATAGCCCGGATAGCTTATAAACATCAGAAATTTATTTCTCTCCATTCTGGAAGCTGGGAAGTCCAAGATGGAGCAAGCAGCATACTTGGTGTCTGGTGAGAGCCTGTTCCCTGGTTCATAGATGGTAACTTCTGATTGTATTCTTACGGAAGGCAAAAAACGAGCTCCCCCAGCACTAATTCCATTTATAAAGGCTCTGCTCTCATCATGATCTAATCACCTTCCAAAGGCCCCTCCTCTTAATTGGGGATTAGGTTTCCACATATGAATTTTGGGAGAAAACGAGCATTCTGACCATAGCACATCCTGATTTTCATACAGTTATAAATTTACAGAAAAAACACAGCACAATTCACCTTTGCAACGATGTGGGATCAACCCAAGTGCCCTTCAATTCATGAGTGGATAAAGAGAATGTGGTATATATGTATACCATGGAGTACTACTCAGCCATAAAAGGGCCAAAATGATGTCATTTGCAACAATGTGGAGTAAACTGGAGACCACTGCCCTAAGTGAAGTATCACAGAAATGGAAAACCAACATGGTATGCTCTCACTAATAAGTTAGAGCTCATAGATGTGTACACTTGAGCACAGAGCGACATAAAGGACATGAAAAACCAAGAAGGGGGTAGGGTGGGAGGGTGGTTTGGGCTAAAAACCTACCTATTTGGTAAAAGGAACAGTATTTCGGTGATGGGCACATCAAAACCCTGACTCAAGCATTAGACAAGATATCCATGTTACAAAAACACTTGTACCTCCTTAATATTTTGAAATGAAAGATAAAAGTCAATAAAAAATAAGAATAAGCACTGAAAAGTACCATCTTGGCTTAAGCAAATTAAAAAACACCACTTTACAGAGAAAAATGGAATGATAGCCCAGAGTTCTCATATATTCAATGCTCAGTTTTCCCCATTTTTAACATGCTATAATAGTATTGTACATTTGTTATAATTAATAAATCAATACTAATGTGTTTTTCATTAACTAAAATCCATTCTTTATTCACATTCCCTTAGTTTTTCTTTATGTCCTTTTTCTATTCCAAGATCCCATTACATTTAGTTGTCATGTTTCCGTAGGGTTCTCTTGGCTGTAACAGAGTTCCATTGTTTTTGATGACCTTGATAGGTTTGAGGAGCACCGGCCAGGTGTTTGGTAGAATGTTCCTCAACTGAGATTTGTCTGATATTAATATCTTTCTTATGAGTAGGTTGAGCTTACAGATGTTTTGGATGAAAAGCACAGAGGCTAAGTGCCATTGTCATCAGATCATAATCAAGGTACATATTATCAATATGACTATTACTGTTGATGTCAACTTTGCTCACTGCAGTAGCGTTTGTCAGACTTTTCCACTGTAAAGTTGTTATAAACAAGTTATTTTTTTTCTCCCTTTCATACTGTACTCTTTGGACAGAAATCACTGTGTGCAGTATATACTTAAGGAGTGGGGAGTCATGCCCCATTTCCTTGAGGGAGGAGTATACACATAATTTATTTGGAATACTTCTACATGGAGATTTATCTTATTCCCCTATTTATTTAGTCAATAATTGTTGTAATATTATAGGATCATGGATATTTAGTTTGCCCTTTAGGTTATAATCCAATACCATTACATTTATTTTATTGCTCAATCTGTTCCACCTTTTGCCATTGGGAACTCCTTTACTTGACTCTCGTATCCCTTTGCCACATCCCCACCATTTTAAGCACTTCCCTCTCTTCTGACACTGCCATATGCTCCCACGAGCACATGAGCCCATCTTGCATATTTTCTGCCCCTGTTTAGAATCAGCCATTCTCCAAGGAGCCCTTGTTCCTTGTATTGGTGAGTGGAATTATGCAAGATTTGATCACTAGCTTTAATTTTCCTTTTGGAAAAAATCACAAAGAAAGTTAGAACTATCAAAAAGGCTAAAGGTGAAGAACTGACATTATTTTCCTTTAAGACTTATCATAAAGTGACAAAAATCAAAATATTGTGATTGTTGAAAAAAGATAGATCCTTGAATGGGATAGAATAGAGAATACAGAAATTGGTCCACATATGAATTGTCAATTTATTTTTCATAAAAGTTCCAGTATATTTGAATAGAAGAATATTGCTTTCAAAAAGTGGTGCTAGAATAATTAGATATCCATGTGTAAAAAGAAAAAAGAGCCCAACCCTTACCTGGCACCGAATATAAATTAACTTCATATGGAGAGTAGAATTCAATGTAAACTTAAAACTTCTGGAGGAAATTATAG